AAAACTCGGGGGAGGGGGTAGGCAGCAATCTGTGCTTTAACAAGCCCTCTAGGTGATTCTGGTACCCACCAAATTTAACAGACAATGAATTAGTAAAATGATTCAAAGATGTTACCAAGCTTGAATAGACTGCAAGGCAGAAAGTGATATGTTTTGGAGGATGAGATGCATTTTAATTTTAATCTAAAATGTAGGATGATCAAATACTGGTGATAGCTAAGCTTACATTGCAGTATGGAAGTGAAGCATTGATGAGAGAGAAAAACTTGGAATAATCAGTATTGAGATGAGAGTTTGAAGATGTAAAAATTGATGAACTCTCCTAGCATATAGAGAGAGTATAGTGGGCCAAGGACAAAGTCTGCACACCCCCAGGAAAACCCAGGGGAGGGAACAGACAAACAGAAATGAAGAGGAAGGAGGGTAAATTTATAGAAGCTAGAGAAGAGAGGGTTTTACAAAAAAGAGGGAGTGATTAATAGTCTCAGATTCTTTGTGAAGTCCATGGTCACAGCTGGGAGCATTTGGGAATGAGGAGAACATCAGCAGCGAGAGAGCAGCTCCTTTATGGTGGGAGGGTCAGAAGGCAGCTCTGCCACCCTGGGTAATATTCCTAATGCATTCCATTTCATTTTCTCCCAGCTTTGGTTTTTAGGAAGTTTTTAAAATTACATTGAGCATAGTTGGGATTAACTTAAGGAAGGTGAGTAGGAGGTAAAAAATGGAGCTGCTCTTACATCCATAGATCATTACAGGAAGGTGAACATGTGATAAAATAGTATTTTTCTTCCTTGCACTATTTGGGACAGTTAAGGAGTACATCGCTTTAGAGTACTGTACAGAACTTGCCACAACCCCAGCTCAAGTAATGAGAGAGAGAATTCAGAAGATGCAAGAGAGAACAAAGGCAGGTTTCTTTGCTGTTTATTTCTTTTTCCTAACCTCCTTTCCCAGACTTATTGTTCATTGCTTCCACTGTAGATATTAAGCACCTAGCAGAGTTAGTTAATATGGTAAGGAGGAGGATGTGACAGGTATGTTTAAAAAAAAAAGGAACTTGAATATCAGGATTGTCAGAGGCCATTTTGAAAATTGATGTTTCTCGTATTACAAAAAATGACCATCTTTTCATAAAAGATGTTATATCATGGCATCATATACTTTTGTCAGAAAATTTGCACTGAAAATAATTTTTTTTTTCCTTTTTGTCTTTTTTCGTGTCCGGCAATGGATCGCAACCCTCAGTGTTGCGCCCGTACAGGACCGGGACCGACAACGGGATCGCAACCCTCGGTGTTGCGTCCGCACCTCGCTCAGCCAGTGAGCAGGAACCGGTCCGTATGTGGGATCCGAACCCTCGGCGGGAGCGCCACCGCACTCCCAAGCGGTGCACTGTAGCAGTGCGCCACCGGGCGGCCCTGAAAATAATTTTAATTCTAAGAATTTTAGCATGCTTGCCATTATGATATATTTTTTTTCCTTTTTGTCTTTTTTACTGACCGGTAACGGGATCGCAACCCTT